CTCAATGGCACATAACAACAACAATGACTACAAAAGTATTTTATTAAAAGTTTCAAATTTTCAACATTTAAAAGTTAAATAGGGAGCTCTGGTGGCCTAGTGGCAAGATGTTGCACTGCAATCCCAGAGGTACATGGTTCGAATCCACTAGATGCTCTGCTGGAGAAGAAGGGGCAATCTCTCCCAGTACCAGTCAGATCGGATTTGACAGTACACACACAAAAATAATAAAATTAAATTAAAAAAATAAAAAAGTTAAATAGAACTCCTAAGAAGACCCAGAATTAATAAGATAACTATTTAACTTATTAATGCGGGTGATAAAATAGTATTTAAGGAATTTAGTATTTGTAGTCAACAAAGAAAGAACGGGAATAAAATTGCCAGATTAGATAAAAAACTGCTCAATATCCTACAGGGCATTTAAACCCTAACTTGAGGGATTATCTGCTCTAGACAAAAAAAATAGTCTATAAATTACATATGCCCTCATAGAGTCTAGGACAATCAAAAAGAAATAGTGAATAAAAGAGAAAGGCGCTATTCTTGAGAATCAAATAGTTAGTTCTTGGGCAGGTCTGTTACACCATGCTTCTGTATGATACAAGAGAAACATGTAGTTTTATAGAAACTCTTGTTGTTGTTGTTGTTAAGTGCAGTCGCTGCGCAGGCGACTCATAGTGACCCTATGAAGGAGAGTCCTCGACGCCTGGGTGTCTGTCATCCTCTTTCCAGGTCCATAGGTTTCCGGAGGCAAGCTATCATGGAAGTGGATGCCACTCCTCCTTCCACACTTGTTTTAATCAGGGAGCTCCACCTCACTCTGTCCGCACTGAGTAACCAACCATTAACGCATTTGACACATCCGTGTTACTGTGTTCAGCCTCACAGCAACCACAAGTGACTGCGGGACGGCAACTTGTACACCAGGGCTATACGACCTAGAGGAATGTCTGAACAAAAACAATGAAAGATTGGCCTGAGTGACAATTGCTTGTACCTTTCAATGTTTCAAACAAAATCTGCCTTTAATATTTAATAAAATCTTTACCATCTTTTGTGTCTCATTTCAATCAGGAAGGAAAACCACTAGCAATTCTACAATTGCAGTGATACCTAGTATAAAAGCCAAAGCTTTGATACTTTTCTTGAGGGATAAGAAAACATTTCCTTTTATGAGCAATTTCAATTTTGCATCACAATAGAAAAACGTTCATATATTCTATCTTGACTTAAAGGCAGCAACAAGAACAACTGATGCTAATTTCAAAAGTTTACATGGATTTGAAGTTAAGTTGCTGAATCTCTGAGCTTCCGCTTTCTCCTCTGTTACAAAAGTAGTTTCACACTATTCTTGTATGCCAGAATGGCCAAGTCTGTCGTGGAAAAGGTGCAAACTGAATGCTCTGTAAAGACAAGACTGAGAGACTTTTTCTCCTCATGTGCTCTGTATGTGTAGGAACAGCTCCTAGAGGAAGACATCATGCTTGATAAAGCAGACGGTCAAGGACAAAGAGGAAAACCTCAGTGAGACAGATAAACACAGTGATTGCAACAATGGGCTCAAACAGAGCAATGAGGTTGGTGTAGCACCAGGCAGTGTTTCATTCTGGAGTAGATGATGAGGATGGCACAGGATAGAGCACCATTCTCTGAGTCAGAGTCAATGGCGCCTAACAACAGTAAGAGTCGGTACCAATGTGGCAGCATGTAACAACACTAAAACAACTACTCAATTAGCTTTTTATGGTTGTTGTGTACCATTGAGTGGGATCCGACCTGTAGCTGACCCTCAGTGGATTTTCAGAGGCAGTAGATCACCTCTCTCCTTCGGAGCAGCTGGTGGATTAGAACTTCATACTTTTGCATTTGCAGCATATTTCCTTATGACTAAGCCACCAGAGCTTTTTGAACAAAAGGAGTGTATATATTTCAATAATAAACTCTACCACACAAATATACTATGTGATATTTCAACATACTGTGTTTCAGGAAGACACATTTCCTCAATTTTACTCAAGTTTCTAGTCAAAGAATATCAGATAAGCCAGATTTAAATCCTGTTCCATATTTGGAGGAACGCTGAAGAGACTTTTCAAACTGCTTTTGGCATGTGCCATTATTTTATACTTTTATGTTTAGTCCTTAATTTATCTAAAGGAGGTATTCTGTGCTATAAGCTTATTATTAAGAGCAATTTATATTCAGGAAGACCATTAAGACCCTAGAGCTTGAACAACTGGTTTTCAAAAATTATCAGAAACTCTACGAACATTAGTAAAACCATTAAATTGTACATTAAATGGGTGAATTTCCCAAAACGTGAATCACAGTTTAATATAGCTACTTTCTGTAAATGGTTCAGAAAGAAAATGAATACAATAAACCTTTATGCTTTTAAAGTGTATTTATATATTGTTTACCTTCAAGTTTAAAAAAAACTTAATTACCCAATTGAAAATAATTTTTCAATGAAAATTATTTGCATATCTTAGATGGTAAAAGAATTCATCCATTAAAATTAATGACATTTTCTTTTTTCATTTAATGACTTTTCACTTAGTAGATTTTTCAAGGTCAAAGCTGTTATGCTAGGATTAGGTTTTTATTATGTAACACTTAAATTGTAAGAGGGCTGGATCAAGTAGAGATGGGGGTATTGAAGACAGTATCGTGTAAATGCTGATTTCATTGGCACCGAGTGGCAAGATCGAAGTGGATTTTCCCCACGGAGAGAGATTTAAGGCCTGCAAGGTGCAAAAATCCAGGACTACAATAAGCCGGAGTAACAATGACTCAGAAAAATATACTTGAAGGAAAAAGCAATATACAATACACTAAGAGGTTTATTAGACAATGCAATTAATTATATTGCAGTTAGTGTTATAAAGCAGAATGTCTATGAATGATCGCACAAAAAATCCTAATATGATAAGTAAACTTAGAAAAAATAAAAAATGTAGCTCTAAGGCACGTGTCAAAAGTATTATTTGGTCAGATATTTCAAATCTTAATAAAATCTAGAATCTGATATTTGAAGAAAACAAAAAAGGAAAATATATTCTTTTTTAGTTATTTCTAGGAACCTCACCCAAGAGGAAAATAAGTGTCTTAGTCCTAATCAAGGCTAGTTCTGAACTTCAATTTTTCCTCCTTAACAAAGTTTTATTAATCTAATCCAGTACGCCAACGGAAATTTTTCAAAACATTTTTGGGTTTTTGTATCTTAGATGATCCTGGGAAAGAAAGAAAAGGAGTGTGAACCTAAAGAAAATAAAGTTATTGATTATCTGCGTGGAATGGCTTTGACTCTCCTAAGGTTCAGGGATTTTATTTTGAGAAGTTTTCTTTAGAATGACTTTTCTATATTTTAAAGCAACTTTAGTAATTCTTCTAAAGGCACTTCCAACAAACAGAAAGATAAATCTTGGGAACCATGACAACTTTCAAGAATACAGATTTTGTTTCCAGATCATCAATTTCCTTCTTAACATTCATCCGACTGTAACACAAATTCTCCAAGTATTTTGCCAGATATTATTTATTAACTACAAACAGTGTAGTTATTTTAGTTCTGCTTCATGAGATGGCTTAAACAAAGAAAAAAAACAAAAACGTAGAGCTCACAATGATGAATGCCCCTGAGGCCGCTATGGAAGGTTCTCTGCAACTTGCTTTGCTGATAAGGGGCAAACCAACCTTCTCCTGAGAAAAGCCCATTCACCCCACGAGTCTCCCACAGTAGTAATAAAACCAGTGTGAGAGGTCTCAACATAGACATGCTGGATATGCATCTGTGAAAGCTTAATCAGGATAAAAACAAAGCAACTGCAGATGGGGCTTGGCCAGCTTGGACTTGCTTTCCCTTCAAATTCTTCCCTGTTCTTGACAGCAATAGCCTAATTATTTAAATAGTGTTGGCAGCATCCAAATAAAGATGCATTTTTAAAGACTTGTACTTACTAAATACCTTTAACAAGTTTCTCCCATCTCCTTCCATTCTCAATTTATTTTTAAAAGCATTTCAAACAGTGCTTGACTTGCATTAAGTACTCAGTAAATGTTGATGGTAATAATTACTGTCATTAACTATTTTCACTATTTAAATGTTACTAATCTATCAGTGATGATTTCAGGAGAAAATCAAGTACATGGTGAATTCTTTCAAAATGCTCTCATCTGGGATATGTATTTACTTTCAAGTCCAGAGGGTCTGTCTCTCCAACTTAGCTATATAAAACAGCTTTGCTCTTAAAAGGCAATGCCACAGGGAGAAAGAGTGGTGGAGGAAACATTCTAAATGAAAAGAATTCAAAGAGACATAACAATGAAATGTTGTGATTCTTGACTGGCTTTAGCTCAGAAATAAAAATGTACACAATACATTCTGAGAACAACTGCAGGAATTTAAATATGGGCTGGATTTAGATCACATTATAGAATTTAATTTTATTAGGTGTCACAATGGTAAAATGTCACAAAGGTAAAATTCCTTCATTCTTAGAACATAAATACTTAAATATTTGGAGGTAAAAATGTATGTATCTATAAATTACTTTCAAATGGTTCAGAGAAAAGCCAAAGAATCTATTTAAGTTATAAAGAAAAACCCAACATGGTACAGTGTTAACTAGTGACTAGCAGTGAAGAATTTACAAGCATTAATTTTTATTTTTCTTTCCATTTTCTTTAAATATAAAAGTTAAAAGAATGTTTCACTGAAGAAAATACCACATACACCTTTAGGTATTTCATTATCAAGCTATACAATTATACATTGATATTACAAATTTACATCTTAGAAAATGCCTACCTACTTAGCAAATATTCTCTCAAAAGAAAATTAACTACTTTACATTATTTAATATACAATTCTAATACATAGGTGCAATCTTAAATATAATTCAGAATAAATAGGTCAACATCTATTTTCAATTAGAAACAATCAGATACCATCATTACAATGATTATGAATTAATATTCCAATTAAATTAAGATTTTCAATAATTTCTTCTTTGTTTTTCTTCTTTATCTAGAAGGGTCTGTTTTAAACTTAAAATAGCATCTTGAAAACCAGGATTTATGTCTAAAACCTTCTTGAAATCTTCCAAAGCCTCATCAAAATATCCTGTACCAGAACCCAAAAAAGAGGAAAACAACTTGAGTATTTCTATATGTTATTCACAGCAAAGTTTGAAAACATACTTTTGATTTTACATTTACTACACTTTCAACTACTCTTAAGAAAGAGATTTCTTTGATTTAACAATGTCGTACAGACCAATGTCTTCTGTGTGTCCTTAAAGAATAAAAAACCCAAGTAAGTTAAGGGTGATTTATTGACATTAAACACGTACGTAGCCTAAATCATCCCAAAATGTCAACAAAATTATAACACCTGCTTTATAAAGTTGCAATAAAATTAAGAAAGTTGGAGTAAATATTCTTCCTCACCCTTAATTTAAATGAAATAGTAGCCAAGTCCCTTTAACTCAAGGATCTAAAACTGCGGTGAGTATTGTCCTGTGTCTTCAAAGATGTTAACTCGGACATTCCACAGGGAACCATCTGCATTACCCTAGTTCTGCAGCTAGGAGCACACAGGCTCCAAGTAATAGGTCATGCTGACACCACAGAGTGTTTTGTACTGCCTTGGAAAGCCTAAAATGAACTCAGGTACGCTGCCTTTGTTACAGCCTCTGGACCTAAATTTCACCTAACTCTAAGCCTTGATCATTAATACGTTCATATTGTAACATTTAAGAACTCTGAAATAACAGAACACAATCAATGGCAAAGGCGGAAGGAAAAAAACAAAACTAAACTTACCCAGTCTGTATAGTATCAGCCCTCTGTTGTAATATGGAACTTCAAAACTGGGTCGGACTTGTATGGCAGATGTGTAGTCATCCATGGCTTCATAAAAATCAACCCTGAAGTACTTGATTTGCCCCCTGTTGTTATACGCGGTAGCCAAATCCTCAGGGCTGCATTTGCTTTAAACAAAAAGTTCACATTAACAACACCGTGCTACCACATTTATTTCATTTCCTCTTTCGTTCTCCTTGGAGAACTGTCACATTTGATGGCCTCTACTATGTGGTAGCCACAGTGAAAACGCAAACCAAAGACACAAAGCATCCAAGTGGAATCAATTCTTGTCTAACCACTTTATCTACTTTGGGAGGGCTGCATCCGTAGAGCATGTTAATTTCATGGTGTGTTCAAAGCCCCCAGTTACTGTGCCTTGTGCTGCAGAGCACACTGTGCATTTTCTAAGCACACACCAGGCAGCAGAGCAAAGAACATATGATGTGCAAGGAAGCAAAACCAGCACAATGTTCAAATGTACTGTGGAAATGTCACAAAGAGAATCATCAGTTTTATTCTCAAACATATAAATGAGTGAAAACAATGAGATCTGGGATCATATCCCACCAATAAAGAAAAAAAAAAAGAGAGAGAGCTAGCTCCAGGTAAAATGATAACACAATGATCTCAAGGAATGCTGAGAACAGAGCTGTCTCCTGGTTTTTTTTCTGAGATCTTGTCCAAGGCCAAGCTGACATCGTCCTAGGGAGGTGAGCTCCTAAACTCCCTCAAAGACCTGGTCCACACAAAGTCTGTAAGAGAGAAGTCTTTTCCACAATTGGGGGTGGGGGGGGGGGTTAAAGCTCCAGGCAACTCCTACCCAGTTCCAATTCAATCATCATAGCCCCAGGCTGCTTGCTCTTTTTTATTTTTTTTTTTTCTTTTAAACACACAGTCCAATCTCCGGCACAAAAGAACATTCTAAATTCTGCTCTACATCACAGCCAATTCTGTTTTCCTTTGTTTTTATCCCAAAGACATCAAACTTTGAACAAAATCACGGGAAGACACCAGGTCAAGCTAGTGTGTCATCTCATTGATACATCCTTTATTAAGAACCAGAAAATATGAGCATTTAGCTCTGTTAGCTGAATGGTAAGGAATTGTGCTCCCAATACAATAGCACCTGGTTTGAATCTACCAACTACTTCTCAGAGAGACAGGCAATCTCAATCTCCTTCTGTGTGATTAACTGCCTTCAAAAACCTGCCTGAGGGTCAGCTATGGTTCCCACTCGACCCCACACAACAACAAGTCTTTGTATCTTAATCACTGCAATGAAAATGGGCAGTACTCCTGCTGCCACAAGGAAGCTACTCATAACCCAGAAATTTCTTTCACGCTAAGTTTACTATCAAAGGCAAGGAAGCATTGCAACTTCAGAAAATCTCCCTTCTGTGAAGAGGCCTGAAAGACTGGGCAGAAGGATTCTCTGGATGCCACAGTAAAAATGTAGGGAACTTGAAAGTGTGCTCTCTCCATATATGTTATAATACCAGGGAAAAATGCAGCCTCCATTTTTCAAAGCACGATGTCCTTCTCCAAGGACTGGCCCTTCCTAACATGTCCTAAGCAGCATGTGAGACAAAGTTTCACCATCTTCGCTTCCAAAGAGCACCCTGGACAAACTTTCCCCAAGACATATATGTTCTTTTGGCAGTCCATGAGATACTAAGTACTCTTCTCCAACACAACAACTCGAAGGCATCGATGCTTCTTCTGTCATCCTTATTCACTGTACAACTTTCAAATACAGAACAAGCCATCAAATAGGCCATGGCTTGGATCAGGCGCACCATAGTCTTTAAATTGATGCCCTTGCTCTTCAGCACTTTCAAAAGGTCTGACAGCAGATTTTTTTTCTTTTCAATGTAAAACATCTTTTTTCTTTCTTGACAACGTGTACCAATGTGCTGATTGTGGATCCAAGCAAGATGAGATCAATGACAACTTCAATCTTTTCTCCATCTATCATGATGTAAACTATATGGGAGGGAGAAGGAGGAGAGTAAGGAAAAGAGAAAGGTAGGGAGAGAGAGAAAAAGGGAGGGAGGGAGAGCTAGGGAGAAGGGAGAGGGAGAGGAAGAGCTACGAGAGGTCACTTTTTAAAGACTATATTCTGATAATAAGCATTTAGTAATTTATGGTTGAAATGATAATAATTAAGCTGGTTGGAAGATACCTGGAAGTCCATGACATGATTTTTTACATATTAATTTTTTTTCTTAGTAACTTTAAGGAGTATCTTATATGCACTGTTCTATACGACACTACTCAGTTGTGTCCCTTTTCTCTCCCACTGGATATCCCCCACCTGTTAACATGACGGGTGGAAAAGCCCTATGCGCTGTCTGGATCTGTGAGGGGGTAACCTCCAAAGTTAGCTGCGAAAAGCTTGTCAGCACCCAAAAGAAAAAAAGTGCAAAGGACTTCCGCCCGCGCCATCCTAGCGGAGTGAGGTAGTCATTCGGAGAAGGTAAAGTATGTGCCCGCCTCTTCACCAGCTCAGGAACGCCTAAGGCCGACCTTGAGCTCAGCTGCTGAGCACACAGATGACTCAAGCTACCCGAGACGCCCGCAAACTCCACTTCTCGCGTTAGTTACCTCCCGGGACCCGCGCCCGCCGAGTCTGCACGGCCGCAGCGGCAAATGAACAACGAATACAGCGCCTCGGCCTCCGCGTACTCTCCCTTCTGGAAATGAGCGTGGGCCAGTGACAGGGGCTCCTGGCTGACTTGAGCCTGCTGCCCTCTCATAGCGGCCCGAGGTCACGCTTCGGTGTAGAATGGGGATTGCAACCAACACCACAAAGTCACTTCCGCGGCTCCGACTTCAGTGTAGGAACGCACGCGAGGGACACAAGTTTGTGCCTTCTGAGGACCTGTCGTCTCGCGAGACCAATATGTGGCCCTTGATCGCAAATTTCAGGTGTTTGGGGATAATTTGGCGTGAACAGCGATGGATGGTGCTGTTCTGTTGTCATTCACAGTGACAGCCTTGTTTACAGAAACAAAAACAAGACAAACACCAGCTAATTGATGGCTCTGAATTTTTTTTTT